TGTATCTATTCTTTTTATCCATCTAAGAAGTAGTTTTTGATTTATCCAAGACGCAGTGATAACATAGACAAATTCTAGTGGAAGAGTTATTATTGATGTATACAAGTGAGTATGTGAGCAAATTATGATAACAAATTCACTACTAAGATGTTTATAGGAGGTAAGTAATTAATACCAATTGATAATTACTAATATGGTGTTATAAATTCTAGTATTTATCCAATATAAAATTCTAATAAGTGGTATTAGAGTCAATGGTCGATCAGGTGACCAGTTCGATAAATATGATAGTTGACAAATGAATGTAGATATAGGATCTCTTATATCAAAAGTCTTCCTAATTGTAAGTTCATGTATAGAGGAGAGTTCTATTAGTTACATGAAAGTGTGTCCCATTATCATGAGTTAAATGATGAAGCCACATACAAGTTTTTAAAGCGTGATTGAATTCTATAGAACACCATTAAATATACTTGTATCCTTCCATTCCAAAGTGGGATAAAACATAATCCTTTGTTTGATAAGATAACTATTGAGATATATAATCAAAATTTCATATCATTCAAACTGTAACATAGAAAAAAAATGTGGTTGATTTAATAGTCCAGAACGGGTCGTTCCCAATCTGGAACGGGCCGTTCCAAGCTATTAAATTGAACTGAAATTTGTAGTGGAGAACGGGCCATTCTGGTTGGAGAACGGGTCGTTCTGGTTGGAGAACGGGCCATTCTGGATGGAGAACGGGCCGTTCTGGAGGGGAGTACGGGCCGTTCTGGATGAGAACGGGCCGTTCTGTATGAGTCCCAGAACGGGCCGTTCTGATTTCAGAACAGGCCGTTCTGTAGGTGATTTTTGTGCATGTTGAGGGAATTCAGAACGGGTCGTTCCGGTATCGGTACAGGTCATTCTACCCATTTCGAAAAGTCTATAAATAGGGGTTGGGGGCCTTCAGGAGAATGTGAGTTTTTAGAGAGAAGTTTTAGAGAAAAGGTCTCTGGGTCTGTGAGCTCCTTTCTCTCCCAAATTTCTCTGTATGATTCCTTTTCTCCTCTAGACCACTAATGCCTTCTGTCTTTTCTTGAAATTCAGATTAGAAAGCTTATTTTGGGAGGATTGAAGTTCTGGGTTGAGCTTTGGAAGGGAATTCTATTTCGTCACAGTTGTTGGCTATTTTGAGCCGATCTTCAAGTGAGGGGAGCTAGAATGTTTGTTGTTTAGGTTGCATGTGAGTTTAGAAACTCAATAGGTGCATGAATGTTGAGAATCCATAGATGGATTGAAGAAAATCTCATTTTTGGAGTTTTGAGGAAAACGAGGATTTTGATGCATAGTTGGGATGCATGTGAGATTTAAGTGTATTTTGAGTCGTATGGAGCCTATGCATTGTGTTTTGTGTTTGCATGTGGTTGAATTTGTCAGTTTGGATGAGAGTTTTGAACTCTCTGATTGGGATTTAGGTCGGGCGTAGGTTGAGCGCGCCAGGCGTAGAGGAGCTTAGGGCTCTCGGGTTGGATGTTGGGTCAGGCGTGATTTGGTTGTGTCAAACGTAGAGACTCTTAGGAGTCTCTGTCTCAAGGGCACCAAGCATGAGTTGAACGCGCCAGGTGTGGATGAGTTTTAGGACTCTCAGGTTGGGATTAGGCTGGGCGAGCTAAGGCTACGCCGGGCGTGAATATGTTTATGAATGGATTGATGCTTATGCATGTTTAAAGTTGAAGTTTTAGATCATGTATGTATAATATGTGATGTATGGTGAGGTATGATTCATATATATGATTTGTGATGATACGTATGAATGTTTAAATATGATATGACATGTGTATATGTTCATATGGTATGTTTATTGATCATAATGGTGGTAGACCATGTATGATGTGTGATGCATTATTGCATGTGATGCTTTATGGCATGAGTATGTTTATTGATCATGATGGTGGGTAGACCATGTATGATGTATGATGCATTATTGCATGTGATGTCTTATGACATGTATATGATTGTTGATCATTATGGTGGGCAGACCATATATGATGTATGATGCATGATTGCATGTGATGCCTTATGGCATGAGTCTAGCCTAGGACTTGAGGAGAGGAAAAATATTTTCGAACTGGAAGAGCTCACATAGAGTCTCTTGAGAGTGGTGCTTGGATAGGCCACTGATATATGAGAGTGGTGCTCTGGGAGGCCACTGGATTTGGGAGAGTGGTGCTCAGATAGGCCACTGGGTTGGGTGAGTCTCCTCTAAGTCCTTAGCTAGTGTTGGAGCGGGGTATGAGGTCGAGGGTTATTCCCTTAACCAAGTACTCGGGAAGGTGCGTGGATCCTTGCGGATAGTCGGTGGGCGAACTCCACAATTGACTTGGTTAATGCATGCCAAGGTCGTGGTAAGCCCGTACCCAGCTGTGCTATACCTGATGGTGGATCTGAAATTCCAAGTGTGTAAGTGACATCATCCGAGTAAACCCGAGTGAGGATTATATATCCTGTTTAGCTGTGACCGAGCGGGCGCATTGGGCGTGAAAACGGTTGGGGTGGTTTCGGTAGGATGTAATGTCACTTATACAGCTCTATTGTTATGGAGATCTCCTAGGTGAATGCGTGACGACACATTAGAAGATTGATATGCATTGATATCTGTCATGAGATGCATTTATTGCCTGATTAATAACATGATGAAGTGTGGTGTTTGACTTCATGATTGGTGGATTGTATTTTATGCATGAGTAGTATTGGATAGAGTGTATGGTGTGACTCTATGAACATGATTGATAGCGGGATGATGGGGTAGTATAGATTATTGTTCTATACTTGTATGATTGATTTGTGAATTCTAGCTTACCCTTCTATTTCCATGTGGTGGAATTGCAATGATCATACTTGGTATGGGAGCAGGTCGGGACTAGCTTGGAGTTTGGGTGACCGCTGCGAGACGGGGAGTTGAATCCTCGTGTTAGAGTTACTATTTTGGGTAACGGTTTTATATGTGTTTGACCGGCACTAAGGAATATTATTTTTTGGATGACTATACATATATGGAACCAGAAACTTAGTTATTTTCATTTTTATTTGTACATGTATGTATGAGTTATCCAGCTTAATATTTCTCTTAGTTTTACTAGCAGTAGTGCGATTCCACTAAGTGTATAGACTATAGCGGGTCGTTACACTTACAAAATGATAAATATGAGTTTATAAACATACATATATCTCCATTATTAAGAGATTTTTTGAATGATATTCAAAATTAAAATTATAAAAACTTAACTCTAAAGTCAAATATTTGAGAAATTATTTAAAATAGTATCATACAATTATTTTGACATTTATAAACTGCATAGCTCACCCAATAATATAGCATGGGTACCTTGTGTTGTGAAGCACAAAAAAAGTGGGCTCGTGATTGAAACATTTATTACGAATCCATAAATCCTACATTAATTAGAAGCTTTCGTGATCTTCTCTAACCAAAGAGACAAGTACTTAACCATACGCTTCTAAGAGACGTGCTGTCTATGTTATCATTTTGGTTTAGCATATTTTTATCGTGACACATGATCTCTTGCCGACGGTGTGATTAATGTAAGATATACTGCAGATATGTTCTGAGATTATGGGACCCAAAAAGCCCTTGATGAGACACTGAGAGAAAATGATGAAAGGAGAAAATATGGAACCACACAAGTTGTGTTGTGAGAGATGGATAGACGGAGGCTAACAAAGTGAGTGGTTGATCAGAAGTCGTGTCACTCTTTATTATGAGTTGCAATTGTGAGTGTGTATTGGGCCCCACCTCATTCTTATTCAGCCTTCTTTGTTTGCTAGCTTCTGCTCCAGACACACACACTAAGCAACCTTTCCAATCAAAGTTACCCTTCTTTTACTCACTCATGCTATCAACTTACAACTTTCAATCAAAATGGGATCTACTCATCAAGATCTCTTGAACGATAGTCTTTTGGAGGCATAAAAATAACTTAATAAAGTTTTACATCTGATTAGATAATCGAACCTTTGTCAGTACATTCAAGTCACCTAACGGTACTCATGATCTAATCTATGATCGAATCACTCTATTGTCAAATCATCGACGTAAACATCGCAACTTATATATAGCTAGAAACTAGCTTCAGAAAATTTAGGAGTTACCAAAATAAAGAGGTGTTATTTTCTTATGGATTAATTTTTATGTTTAAAGAACTTAATTATATAACAACCGTATTAGATTTCGTTGATGCTTTGGACTAGTCAAGTTACTAGCATAGCATACGCTTAAATTGGCAAAAAGGACCCACCAAGTGTCATCAACTTAAAGTGCAATTCGTTTACTAATGCGGTTACATCATTCGTTTGTCCAATTCATGATTGAGCAAAATCTTGGGCTTTTTTTAACTTCGTGATCCTATGTGTGTGTGTGCGCTTATTTTCTTTCGGTAACCTTTTTCATCTTGGCTATCATGACACAGACTAAAACATTGGTTGGAATAATTGTGCAGGGACATGGGTGAAAGCATGAAAGCTTAATTTCACCAAATTGATAATTCTGTGTGGAAGATCTGAAGTATCTTGGGTGAATGGGACCCACCATCACTAGCACTTTCGTGTAAGCTTCAGTGCCTACCTTTTACTTTATCAAACGATTAACCAATCCAAAAATACTTAACTGATGAAGGTTCATGTATGACTTTTTCTTTAGTACAATGGTGACTCACTTTATTTCAGGTAACATCTAGGTAAACATCGTGAAAATACGAATGCTTCTATTTTTTTATATCAAAAGAAATTAATCTAAAGCTGTAGTCTATGAGGCAAAAGTTCGAGATAAGTAAAACAACATGAGTTCTAATTAGGTAAGACCTATGCTACGTATCAAAAGAGAGCAAATAGCATTAATTATCACCAGATCAGATAAATCACTTTGTGGCCTAATAAAAATAAGACAATGAGTAACTTATCATCATCCACTACATCAACTACATGCTAAAGTTGCAACAGTGTTTCCCCAATTCATTTGCCGGATACTACTCATATATACCATTTAATTTCTCATTCAAATTCTTACTCAGCACATCTACGAGGTACCGACACATTTACAAAACACTGTATTGATGTGTCTGACACAGTTATGGACACGATTCTTGTAAGACACACTATACCTTATTATTTCACTCTTTATTTTCCCCTTCCTTATAAAGTCTAAGTTCGTTAGATTTAGTGGAGGGAAAAATTTTCTTGGTTAAGTGACTGACAGGTACAACCAAAATTGATTTTCATTTTGACCAATGAAAGGGTATTGTTTATCACACCAGTCACCATCAAGATAAGAAGAAGATCAACCATTATTAGTGCAGCAAACAGTAACTAGAGATGGGAGATAAAAGGCTCAGAAATCATGGAAGAAACTTTAGAATGGTTTCCATTGTGACCATGGAAAATTACTATGATTCTGGCTGGCACATGGGCACAAGCTGGCCTCAATGCAGTGATCATTCTTCTTCCTTTGCAATACCTGCACAAATACTACCTCATGTTTCTGATTCTGCCTCTCTTCAATTTGGTGAGTTCCACTCATGGCCACTACCCCTTGAAGGGGTTGCAGAAGAGAGAGCAATAAGTGCTTCCAAGAGTCACAGTCAAGCCGAGAAACGGCGAAGAGATAGGATCAATGCACAGCTTGCAACTCTCAGAAAACTCATTCCTAAGTCTGACAAGGTAAACCAATTTCAATGCATGTGTAGCAGTAGCAGTACTTTCAATTGTACTATTAAGTATGAACATTTTTTTGAGAATAACTTGGATTTTGTTCCTAATCATCACACTAGATGATGAATGGAATTTGATATGACATGGGATCCTTAACAAAGTTATATAAGCATTCCAATTTCCAATTTCCAATTCCACTTTTTCATCTTAACAAGGGAGAGAATATTGGACAAAACTGATTAACATTTGTGTACATGCAGATGGATAAGGCAGCTTTACTAGGAAGTGTGATAGACCAAGTGAAAGATCTAAAGAGAAAGGCCATGGATGTTAGCAGAGCCTTCACAGTTCCAACTGAAATTGATGAAGTATCAATTGACTATGACCATGTTCAAGATGAAAGCTGCACCAAAGTGAGCAAATTGAAGGAAAATATGGTCATCAAAGCTTCTGTTTGCTGTGATGATAGACCAGAATTGTTCCCTGAACTCATCCAAGTCCTCAAAGGATTGAGACTCACAGCAGTTAAAGCTGAGATAGCCAGTGTTGGTGGAAGGATTAAAAGCATATTGGTGCTTTGTTCTAAGGACAATGAAGAGGGTGTTTGCCTTACCACTCTCAAACAGTCCCTCAAATCTGCTGTGACCAAAATTGCCTCATCAAACATGGCATCTAATTGTCCCACTAGAAGTAAGAGGCAGAGATTCTTCTTGCCTTCTCATTGTCTAGAGTAACTTATTTGTTGCAAAATCATCTTTTCCCCCCTTTTTTTCTTAGGAGGGTCAATTTCAGTGGGGCAATTATTTGCTCCATTTTTCAATATTTATATACCTATCAAATATATTCGTCCGTCAATTAGGAAGATGAAATATTAGTTTTGTGCCTCCAATTAAGGCAAAGTTAAAGAATGGGAAATTAATTGAAAGGAATGGAAAGGAAGCAAAGCAAAGCTTTTTTTTTTCCCCTTCTATACCATATGTATATTTTAATTTTATCAGAAATAATAAAAAAATATATTTAAAAATTTAACCTAATGCAGCTAAATACTTAGAATTCAAATTGAAAAGAGTCGTCACTAGTGATTATGATGGGAAATTAAGTTAAAACAAAACATTTGTAAAAGGATAAGAAAATAAATGAACAAAAAAGGCTAGGTAAAGAAATCTGGTGTGACCTCTTGGTGCTTCAAATGGAAAAGTGGCATATTGATTTACCTATGATCGGATCGATGGAATCAGTGAATAACACAGCAAGAGAAAGGAAGAGAACAATGGAAAAGCAACTGATCATTGCATTGCCTATTATTAATTCTAAGCAGACAGATGTTAGTGTTAAATCACATCACGTTTGACTTTTTCAATTACAAGTGATCAATGGATTCAGCACGTCCACTCAATTTATTTTCTTCTCCGGTATGACAGCACCAGATGCCAGATATTTTCTTTATTAATTAATGGAGCTAAACACTGAAAAAAAATTGTTATTACAAAATTAATTAATATTTATTTTTTTAGAATAATTTAAGACATCTAATATGTTTTGTTAAATATTTCTTAACTAACTTTAAGATACTTGTAAACAGGATACTTTCAGTAAATAAAAACTGCATAGATTATTACTGTTAAAACAAAAGCAACTTAATACAAATGATTTAAAGGGGAGAGAGGAAATAAAAAACTCTGTAAATTTTTTCTGCTCTCCACCTCTAACTTTGCATTTTATGAGTGTTTCACATACAGCGACGATATATATATATATATATTAAATGCTTTAACAACGGTTATTTTATTCTCTTTTAATTATTTTTCTTTATTTACTTTCTATTGTACTATATTAGATCAGCTTATACTTATTTTTCATTTAAAAAAAGCCAATTCGTAAGTAAATTCAACTTTTAACAAATCAAAATCAAACTCAAACTTTAACTCTAACTCAAGTAAAATATATAAGTCAGATTTCAACAAAAAAAAAATTTCCACAATTCAAACTTGAAATTCAATTCTTAAAGTGGGTAATGAGTTTGTAACATTTTATGTAAAAATATTTTTTAAAAGCCAAGAATGATAGAAGGGAACATGAATAATTTTACCTTTAGGTATCACATGTTTTGGAGTCAGAAATAAAAAATAATTTAGGGTTGATAAAAGATAGGATAAGAATATATTAAAAAAATTAATAAATCTTCTTATAGATTTGTTAAAATCTTATCACATGTAAAGAAAAAAAATGTATTTTTTTTATTAAAATTACATCTTTATTTTTATATAAAACATTTAAATTTTAGACCAAAAAATATCATGACTGACATGCGATTTACTTGGTATATTTAGGCGTTTTTGTTTTTGTAACAAAGTACATACAGATCTTTTTAATCTTAAAGCAAGTTTAGCTTCCACTATCTGCAATTACTAGAAAATGTAAGTATATATATTTTTTATTAATTTTGATTTTCTCACATGATTTCTTTTAAACTCCGTTCATTGAAAAAGAATCTCTTTACACTATTTTTCGTCTATTGTTGTCAAATGATTTGACACTTTGCGTGAGTCTAACAAGTTACAAGAGTATAAGGGAAAAAAAAAAAAAAAAAGATTTGTGGCCGCACAGAAACAGGAAGAAAAGTAAAAGAAAGGCAGCAGGTTTCAAACAGCAATCATATATTAAACAGTAAAAATAGATCACAGTAAAGACAACCCACGTTAAACAGCCGAAAAGTATGAAAATATTAAGAAAAGACCCACACAACTGAGTGGGAGAGAGACGGGAATTGCTTTTACCACCACATCAGGTATCGACTTGTGTTGGACAACTTTAATAATAATAATTTTTAGTCCATATGAATTACAAACATTTTTCTATATTTATCTTTATCATATTAAAATTGAAAAAAAAAATAGATTAAGCGAAAGAAGAAAAAAAATATCAAAAATCTATAGGACAAGATTCAAGCTATGACTATGCCTATATTACCCCCAACATTCAACTATGAGACTGAACTTGGTGGTTCTTAATAGTATCGACTGTACGTAAGGCAAATATTAATTTACTTCTATTGAGATACGTGTGTTTGGTTGAATATCGATAAAAATTGACTTTCAATAAATTAATTATATAAAATGAATTTTGATTACAACTTACTTGAAATGATATGATTTATGTATAGATGTCTTAAGTCAAAAATTAAGTTAGTAATAAGAAATTATAAAATAAAATTATTGTAAGTTATTTCAAATCAAAATTTTAAATCCAAAATCGATACATTAGTATGGAACAAAAAATATGAATATTTCCGTATTTTTGTTTGCCAATATTTCAATATAATTCTGAACAATCCATAGTTAAACTCCACACGTTCTACAAGAACAAAATTTTCGGCAACTATGGTCGATGACGAGCTGCTCTTTCATCTTATCATTATATTATTATATATCTGGTTCATACCATCTGCATGTCAAACTGAAGCAATTTGCAATTACAATACAAGATGTCTCTTGGATCCCTCCGCTTACTAACCAAAATGTCACGCTTATTTTTCACCATAGACCTAAATAACAGATGGACATAGCTCACAAATCATGTTTTATTTCCGTGTGCATCACATATCATGAAATTAAACTAGATTAAACATCCGTAAACTCCTCAATACACCGAGCTTTTGTCTTAACCAATTTTTTAAATAAATGTTAAAATTTTGCACAATTTATTGCATTTTTAATTCAACCCTCCGGCTACATTTGGATTATATTTGAAAAAATAGTTTTGAGAAATCCAATAACAATTTAACCTATAATTTTGTTACTTTAAAACTGACAATACTGATCAACCTTAATTTTTAATCCAATAACAAATTAACGAATAACAGTCGCACAGACGTCTTTCTAGCACTAAGAATCAGCATGAACTGCAACAACAGGTCGGTCTCGCTAATGCAACCCGCGTTAACATCAATAACAGAGCCACATATATAGCTCTTTCAGTGTCGAAAGATACTTCTTCGCGATCATTCTTTTGAATGTTAAACTGCATCCATCATGCATTTCGTGGCACATTTACTCGATATTTGCTGAATCGCCAAAACGTTAATGAAACCCACGTTATTCTCTCAAATGCAACCATAAACTATTGTTTGACAAAACAACAGAACGGGCTGTATCCATCGGATCCGATCGTCTACTGATCATAAAAAATTGACATGAATGAAAAACGAGTTTCGTCCTTTAAGCCTATCATGGGAATACTTTGACAACTAATAAAAATAATTAATCACACCACATTAACCCCGAAACAAGCCTTCTCAGACTCTGGAATCTGCAACTTCCTTCTGTTGTTGATTCCAAAACTGATATGTATCAGTCCCAATAGGAAATTACCATTTCGCTGGTCACATTCGCGATACCAAATTGTGATGACACATACTAGTCACAGAAGTATCATATAACTAGACACATACCCAATATCTTTTTCTCTAACACTGATATTTTTCATCAGAGACCATAACCGCCTTCCATATGTAAACTATACTTCCAGCCATTAACCTAGACGCATAACTCCTTTCGTATTTCCTACCACACACAATTTTAGGTCCAAGCAATTGTTTTATTCAACCTAAACCCTAAAACAATCAGAAACAGAGACCAAATAATTGCACGCAATCAATTACTCAAATTGACATCGTATGTACAGTGCAGTGCGCGAAATTTCCATATTAAAAAGGTTAAACCAAAAAACATAAACGAGATTAAGAGATCGGAATATTAAAACTAGTTAATTCGAGAGAATAACATCTTTCGAAAAGCAAAATAAAGAAGTAAAAAAGTATCATAACATTTGATCTGAAAACAATAACATAACGGAATGAAAACAAAACTAGGGGCAATAGATGCTGGGGAAAGACGCACACTACTTGGATCTTTGTCTCATCTTTCGGCGCTTCCTCTTCAACCTTCTCATACGCTTCTTCTTCCACTGCACAAATACAAACTCTCAATCAGACCTAAAGCGGCGTAAGAAAAACGCAATAGCAAAAGAATCAAACAATATAAAGGACCCTACCTTAGCTCTCATAGTGATAAACCACAAAATCAGACAACAAACCCTAGCCGAACAGAGAGTAGACTGTGGGTGGGTAAAGAAAGGAGATTCAAAGCGACTGCGAGCTAGGTTTCATCAATTTATAGCGAACCATAAACCCTAGCAAATAACAAGTATTGGGCTTTAATAGTTACCCCGTGGGTTCCCAACAGTTTAAAGCAAACAAGAATGACCCGGCCCATTTCACTTAATACACGGCCCAACTCTTCGCCAGCGTTGATTTTTTTTTTATTATATATTTTTGTTAGAGAGTAATATGGAAAATATTACTCTTCTTTTGTCTTTTATCATTCTGTTATTTCATTAAAACATTCTAGTTGTCACCTGTCCTATTTTGTTATGGTTTGTTATTTTGTAATCATCTCTTGTCAGTTGTACTAGCAGGAGGTAGCTTCTATAAAAGGCTCCTTTGTATTTCTTTACAAGCAAGTTAAATGAAATGAAAATATACCCTTCTCATTTAACCTTTTTCTCTGATCCTCTCTAACATGGTATCTAGAGCCAACAGCTTTACAGCAAAACCCTAGTTCTTTTCTTTTCCTTTTATGGAAATCGTTAATCCCCACCCTTCCGCATCCCAATATTTTTCAACCGTCATCGCTGAGAAACTTGATGATTCAAATTATCTTCACTGGCGACAACAAATCGAACCTGTTCTCAAGTCGCATAAGCTTCAACGGTTCGTCGTTAATCCTTTGATTCCCTCCCGCTATCTAAATGATGATGATCGTGCCATTGACAAGGTCAATCCTGAGTATGAAGCTTGGGAAGTTCAGGATCAGATGTTGTTGACCTGGCTTCAATCAACTTTGTCAAAATCAATCCTCTCTCGTGTCATTGGCTCCGTTCACTCCTATCAAGTCTGGGAAAAGATTCATGAATATTTTCACATGCAAACGAAGGCACGCGCCCGTCAACTCCGTACTGATCTTCGTACTACTTCTCTTGATGGTAAAACAATGCGCGAGTTCTTGTCTCAGATCAAGAACATTGCTGACGAACTTGCTGGCGTAGGACATCCTGTTCCTCTTGACGAATATGTTGATGCAATTTTAGAAGGTTTACCACAAGATTATGCCCCAGTGGTTTCTGTTATTGAAAGTAAGTTTGCTACTCCTCCAATTGTTGAGGTTGAAGCTTTTCTTCTTGCACATGAATCTCGCAGCAACAGATTTCGCAAACAATCCTTCTCTCCTTCTATTAATTACACTCATGGGTATGCTTGAGGCAGTGTAAATCGTGGTGGTGGCAATAGTGGTCGTCGTGGAGGTAGTTCTGGCAGAGGTCGTGGAGGATGTTTTGCAAGCTTTCAATGTCAAATTTGCTTAAAATATGGTCATACCGCCAATATTTGCTTTTATAGAGCTGATGCAAATTATCAACCTCATGACTCTTTGGTTCTATATGATCCTTCGACTTTGCAACCTGTGCAGTTCAATCCTTCTCCATCCATCACCAAAACCTCTAATACTTGGGTGAATCCCACCTCCAAGCAACCCAGTCAAGACACTAATGTCAACTCGGTCACTCCTAGTGCTATGCTAGCTAATACTTCTTCTCAAGGTGTTGTCAACTCTACTTGGATCCCTGATTCCGGTGCTTCCTTCCATGTCACTGGTGAGCCTCAGAATGTACATCAGCTTGGTCACTTTGATGGCCCAGACCAAATTTTCATTGGAAATGGTCAAGGTTTGCATATTAATGGTTCTGGTTTCTCCTCCTTCTTGTCTCCTATTAAATCCAATTTTTGCTTTAAATTGAACGATCTTCTTCATGTTCCCTCCATCACAAAAAATTTGTTAAGTGTCAGTAAATTTGGCAAAGACAATTCAGTGTACTTTGAATTTCACTCTCATTGTTGTTTTGTGAAATCTCAGGTGACCAATGAAATCTTACTTCAAGGAGTAGTTGGTTTTGATGGCCTTTATTCCTTCTCAAATTTAGAGCTTCAAGGCCCCTCTGTGTTGGTGTCCTCTTCAATGGCATCATCTGTTGATCCTGCTGTGTCTGCTTGTCCCAATGCAATTTCTAATTCCACTAATGCAAATAAATTTTCTGATGTATCTCTGACGCCTAGTTCTCACACTTTGTGGCATACTAGGCTTGGTCACCCCAATTCTCATGTTCTTAAACTTGTTCTTAATCATTGTAGTATTGCTCCATCTAATAGAAATATTTATGAGTTTTGTTCTTCGTGTTGTGTAGGGAAGTCTCATAGACTTCCTTCTCTTGTTTCTGAATCTGTTTACTCTGCTCCCTTAGATTTAATTTTTACTGATTTATGGGGACCATCTCATGTTGTCTCACATTCTGGTTATGTTTACTATGTTTCCTTCATTGATGCTTTCTCTAAATTTACATGGATCTATCCTTTGAAATCAAAATCTGACACTTTATCTGTCTTTCAACAATTTAAAGCTATGGTTGAACTTCAGTTAAATACCAAAATCAAAAGCATCCAATCTGACTGGGGAGGGGAATATAGATCCTTTACTGCCTTTCTTGCAACTCATGGTATCACTCATAGATTAATTTGCCCTCACACACATCATCAAAATGGTGTAGTGGAAAGGAAACATAGACACATTGTTGACATTGGCATTACCCTACTTTATCATGCTTCCTTACCCCTTACTTTTTGGGATTATGTTTTTTCAACTGCAGTTTACCTAATTAATAGGTTGCCCACTGCCTCATTGAATTTTGACATTCCTTTCACTGTTTTGTTCAAACAAACACCAGATTACAATTTTTTAAAGACCTTTGGATGTGTCTGCTTCTCTTTCTTAAGACCTTATACTACTCATAAACTTGATTTCAGATCCCAGGAGTGTGTGTTTCTAGGGTATTCAAATTCTCACAAGGGCTATAAGTGTCTGTCTGCTTCAGGAAAAATTTACATTTCAAAGGATGTGATTTTTAATGAAACAAGGTTTCCTTACCTTGATCTTTTCCAGCACACTTCCACTCCAGTACCCTCCCCTTCTCAATACTTCACTCTCAATCCAGATCTGTCTCCTCCATGTTCTCATACTACTGCGTCCTCTCTACCTTTTATTCCTGTTTCAGAGACTAGTAATCATAGTGGTCAAGATAATATTTTATCTGTGTCACCCACTGTGTCACAGTCCAATTCCACTCCTTCATCCCCTGTGTCTTCTACTCCCACCAATACTGTTTCCAGAACTATTAATAATCATTCTATGCAAACCAGGTCCAAGTCTGGGATTTATAAACCGAAGATGCCTCCTTCTTTATTTTTGGCTCATAGTGAACCGAAAAATGTCAAACAGGCTCTAAGTGATCCAGATTAGTTTTCTGCCATGAAGCAAGAATACTCTGCTCTTTTGCAAAATCATACATGGGATTTAGTTCCCCTACCCTCTAACAGACAGGCTGTTGGGTGTAAATGGGTATTTCGAGTCAAAGAAAATGCAGATGGGTCTTTCAACAAGTTTAAAGCTCGTTTGGTAGCAAAAGGGTTTCATCAAGTTCATGGTTTTGATTTTCATGAGACATTTTCTCCTGTTATTAAACCTATCACCATTCGCATTATCATTACTCTTACTCTTACTTCTAATTGGCATTTATTTCAATTGGATGTGAATAATGTTTTTCTTAATGGCATCTTGGAAGAAACAGTTTACATGGTGCAGCCCCCTGGATTTGAAGTTGAAGATAAGTCACTTGTTTGTAAGCTCAACAAGGCTCTCTATGGTCTTAAACAGGCTCCCAGGCAGTGGTTTGACAGACTTAAGTTCACTCTTCTTCAATTTGGTTTTCAGGCTAGTAAATGTGATCCTTCTTTGTTCATGTACAAGCATCAAGATCAGATTATCTTTCTTCTAGTCTACGTGGATGATATTATCATTACTGGCAGCTCTTCTCAATTTATTCAGCAGATTACTGATCAACTTAATTCCACATTTTCATTAAAACAGCTGGGCCAATTAGACTATTTCTTGGGCATTAAGATCAAACATTTACCCGACAAGTCCCTTCTCATGACTCAAAGCAAGTACATTCAAGATCTTTTACATAAAACCTCAATGGCTGAAGCTCATCCAATTTCTTCTCCTATGCTCTCTGGCTGTAAATTGTCCAAGACAGGTGCTGATTTGTTTCACGATCCAACACTTTATAGGTCCGTAGTTGGTGCTTTGCAATATGCTACTCTCACAAGACCTGAAATAAGTTTTGCAGTTAACAAAGTTTGCCAATTCATGGCCAATCCCTTGGATTCTCACTGGGTGGCTGTGAAAAGAATCCTCAGATATCTTAAGGGTACTCTTTCTCATGGTCTTCACATGAAATCTGTTGTTCTTGGCAAACCTTTTTCCATTACAGCTATGTGTGATTCTGATTGGGCATCTGATATTGATGATAGAAAATCTACCTCTGGTTCTGCTATCTATTTAGGACCTAATTTGATTTCTTGGTGGTCCAGAAAGCAGCAAGTTACAGCTCGATCCAGCACTGAGGCTGAATACCGCAGTATAGCTCACACCTCTGCTGAATTAACCTGGATTAAGGCTCTGTTACAGGAACTTCAGGTTCCTTTTTCCACTCCTGTTCTCCTCTGTGATAACCAAAGTGCAGTAGCTATTGCTCACAATCCCGTTTTTCATAGTCGCACTAAACACATGGAAATCGATGTCTTTTTTGTTCGAGAGCAGGTTCTATCCAAGCAGCTTTTGGTTTACCACATTCCAGTTTTGGATCAATGGGCAGATGTATTAACCAAGTCTCTTTCTCCAGCCAGATTTCAATTTCTTCGGGACAAACTCAATGTGAAGAGTTTTTCTAACAAACCTCCACCTTGAGTTTGTAGGGGGGTGTTAGAGAGTAATATGGAAAATATTACTCTTCTTTTGTCTTTTATCATTCTGTTATGTCATTAGAATATTCTAGTTGCCACCTGTCCTATTTTGTTATAGTTTGTTATTTTGTAATCATCTCTTGACAGCTGTACCAGCAGGAGGTAGCTTCTATAAAAGGCTCCTTTGTATTTCTTTACAAGCAAGTCAAATGAAATGAAAATATACCCTTCTCATTTAACCTTTTTCTCTGATCCTCTCTAACAATTTTACTTTTCTCTCTTTCCAAATTCTAATCTCAGATGTGCGATATCCTATT